AGTGAGTTCGAGCATCTGTGCCAGGAGGGTATGATTGTGACCCAGTATAAGACGATATTTACAGAGTTGGCTCATCATATTGTGTTTTTTGTTCCTACTGAGAGGGAGAGGGTTAGGAGGTTCATTAAGGGCCTCAACATTAGTATACCGCCCGAGAGGGGGAGACTGATACTACATTTCATCTGGTTGTGAAGATTGTGAGGCGCTTAGAGTGTATCTGCCGGTAGGAGACAGAGGAGCGGGATGCCAAGAGGCCAGGTGGTACTGGAGGATTTAGTGGTGCCCAATCATAAACATTGCATTAATTATTTGGCAATATTTTTTTGAAACAAAATAAATCAAACAATATATAATTTTTAAAGGAATTTTACATCGAGATTAATTACTCCAATACATCAATGCAACGATTCCTTCATGTATTTGAATAAGCTGAAATGTATTCCTAGAAGCATGGTGTGGGACAATTCTTTCCCTGCTGTTTGAAGGCCTTCTTAATTAGTGGATTGACAGGCGCAAAAAATACACTTAAATATGCCTGCTAGTCGAATATAGTATAATATAATATCGTATCCACAGGGATTGGATTTAAACAACGTTCTTGTAGTTTCTAGCTTGATTGCTATCCAAGATGATCAACAATTGAGGTTTATATGATTAAAACGAAAATTAACTAAGAGTCTAAACTATTCACTTATGACAATCGACATAAGTAATGAGCAAAGAAGGTTATCAATGGGAGAAAACAGGGTTTTGATAGGATAGGTGCAAGATAATTGTTTGGGATCTAACTCTAGATAATTCACTTTTAATGTTCAAGTGAGTCTCTCGAATTCACTCAATTATTAGTTCACACGTTTAGAAGAAACTCCTCTCTCGATTAAGCCTCAACCTCACAAGATGAACCAAATTAAGCTCTGTGAAGATATACAAGAATTCGTAGTAGATTAGTCACTAGGAGAACCTCTCTCGATTATCCTCCTAACTAGGTTTAATCAATAATTAAATTAGCCTCTTTCGATTACTAAGAAGAATTAATGAACTCAACCAACAAAATAATGCAAAGACGTCACAAGTTATGCCTCTCTCGATTACATGAACAAGTGAATATAGATGCAATAATTAAATCATCCAAAATGCTTCAATACATAACACTAGAGTTAGTATCCACAAACAAATATCAATACACCAAATCCATCAAACCCTAAAGGGAACTACTCCATTGACATGGAGTAATTCATCACAAATATGATAAAAATATAGGAAAACATAAAATGATCCAAACTCGTGTCTTGAGTGAGTATTCAATGATGAATTCCTTGTGCTTTTGCCTCTCCAACTCCTCCTTAGCCTCCTTAGGTCGTAGATGTGTCAAAAGTCCAGAAAATAACGTTTTTCCATGTATATATACCAAGTAAGGTCGGACCCAGGCAAAAATACCTTTTCGTACGCGAAATAGGACAATTACTCTATAAAAATTTTATAGGCGCGCCGCATGGGTCGAAGCGCCAGGCGAGGCATGATAAGTGGGGATTTTGACTACTTATTAGCGCTTTCTAGCTTTCGTTTTAGTCCAAAAATGCTTAATTGTATTCCCAAAAACTGATAAAATATTCTTAAATGCAGGACTATTGGAAAATGAGGCACAAAGCTGAAATCCAACTCAAAAAGGAGTAAAGTGACCTCAAGAACAAAAAGCAGGCAAAAAGCATAATGTGCGGACCGCAAAATTCTCTCTGCGGCCGCAAAAGGTGAAGTGAAGTATGCCAGAGGCCTAATGTAATGTGCGGCCGCAGAACCACCAAAGAGTTCAAGTTCAAAGAAGTCCCAGTTCAAGCCTCAAGGATATGCGGACCGCACACTTATTGTGCGGCCGCACTCAGATTTGTGCGGTCCGCAGAAATGGCCTGTGCGGACGCACCAAGAAATGTGCAGACCACAGAACACTCCAGATACATCCGTATCCCAGAATTATGCAGCCGCAGACCAAGCTCCTGCCAAGACTGAAGAAGAAGTGCGGACCGCACATGGAATTGTGCGCCGCATAACCTCCGAAAGGGCAATTTTGTCCAAAATTTCCAGCTGTGTATAAATAGACTTCTTTCACGAAATCAGGTCAAGTTTTGAATATCTAAACATTTGTAGCCGTTTTTCTTTACTGCTTTAGGAAACTTTAGCTTACTTTAGTTATTTAACATTAGATATTTATCTTTTAATCTTTGAATATGAGTTTAATTATCTCTTCTTCTTTATTTTCTTCACTACCCATTATGAGTATCTAGATTATTAGCTAGGGTTGTGACCCAACCCTAGGGTGTAACCTTATGGGTGATTAACTTTATGCTTGTTTATGAATGGTGTTTGTTATTTAGCTAGGTTTATGCTTTATTTGTGAATTAATGGTTGCAAACATTGATTTATACCTTTTTTTGACTTAGTCACTTCTTGAGAAAGAGAGACCTAGTCTAGGTCAACCTGGTTAACAAGGAATTGGGTCAATTGAGAAATTGATCAACCAATTAAAGGGTTCAACCTAGAGATAGTAACAACTCGACTTGAGCTCTTATCACTAGTTTCGGTAGATATCCATTTGTCTTAAGAAAGTCAATTTGGGAAAAACCATTCTCTGACCGAAAGGTATTGAGTGGGCAACACAATGTTGTGAGCTATAATACACCCCATTCAACAAAACAACATAAAAGTTTTTATCCCATTAGGCGAACACCTAGGTCATGGTCACACCCCTAGTCCTTTTACAACATCTGAAGAACAACCAAAAGCATCATTTCTCAGTTTCAATTACTTAGTTGAAATCTTAGTTTAATTTAGCTATAAAACCAACCAAGTTTGTGGAAGTGCAATTTAGGATAGTTCAAGCTCATATACCGTAATATATACTCTTAAATCCCAATCTCATAGCGCCATGTGGAATTTGACCCCGACTCTGTTGGGTATTACTATTGCATCGACCGTTTCATATCCTTGAATAAAAGGTGTGACTTGGATGACATCAGGGCAGCAGTGGGAAACATCAGAGAGCTCAACAATTCACAAGGCATCAGGATTTGTATTGTTGCGTCGCACTGTGCGTTGCATCAGTGCAAATTTCTTAGAGTAGGGATTTTGCTTGCTTTTTGACGTCCAGACTTGGTCCTCGACCCCCAAACACGATCCCGACTTAATCCCTTGGGCTTTTACTCAGATTTCAAAGCTCCAAATAGCTTGAATTAGCTCTACAACATCTACATAGCTCGGAATCACTCCTACAAAGCATAAAGCACACAATAAGTGCAAAGCACTAGCAATTAAAGCTCAAACACAATTAAAGTGTAGTAAATTAGAGTAAAATAAGCGACCAAAACATGTGATTATAACCTACCATCAACACCCTGCACTTAAACCATTGCTCATCCTCGAGCAATCAAACTGAACTTTATATAAACACAACCTTATTAAACAACTCTCCTAACTCATCACACCAAGAACATTTAAAATAGACTAAGCACATAGTGTAACATCCTTGCCTAACATTATTCACAACTCGCTAACATAGAGGTCAACAATATTACCTTTCCTTCATGAATCAAGTGCCCTCACATAATAACATAGAGTAGTTCCAACACACAATAAAATTAAAGAATAATTAAGAACTCAACATAGAAAAAATACACTCACTCTCAGAAACAACATTCATATGCCACAAAAGATGCACCATAGGCTTACCCTTAGTGTACTACTCTACTAATGAAGCTCATTTAGTCAAGGATCCAGTAGGACTTTGACGGGTTGTAAAGTAGGCTACGGGATGGGTAGGACACATTTGGATATAAGAGTAATTACACCTCCCTAAGCACTTTAATACATACAATTAACCATTGAAAACCCCATATTTATGTCAACCGTAACTCCACATTCACATCAATATATATTAATTCTCTACTTCTTTAAGCACAATTACCTCAAGAGTCACCACTATCAAAGAATATTTTGCACAACAATACAACTATTTTTTTCTTTATTTTTCAATTCAAGTGGCTCTCACTTTTCAAGACATTGCACCTTTCTCCTTATTTCATTAGTTCTACTCAAAAGCCAAACCAACCACCCCACACTTTAACTTTTACAAAGTTCATAACAAATTCAAGTGATCATGAGAGGTGAAAAGTTTCAAATAGATGGTCAATTCAGACAAATAGGTAAGGCTTGTAATGTGGTTGCCAAAGAAACATGATTATACGCTTAACAAGGTTAACTAAGATACATAACAATTAGGTGGGTAAAAGCATATATCTGGTTCAACAAAGAAACACTTATATCACTTCCTACACTGAACAAAACTACTATTTCGCTTTGCAAACACATAGGGAAAGTTCTAGACATCACATGCAATGCACAGAATAACACAAAATCCTCACACGCATATGGCACATAACTCACTCAGGATTGGACTCATCAAGACACTCTAGTCAAAGCAATTACGCAAAGCTAAGATCATACAATTTAATGTACTTATACAAGAGTCAAAAACTGAGCATAAACATCACAACTAAAACACTCACTATTCTCAAGTCATAATAAATTCAAGAGACATTGCTTCAATTCAAATCATAGCACAAGGTTTCCTACTCCTAACAAAAATAAAAACTAACTACACCCGATTCAAACAAAGCCCTTGAAAAAGAACCGCGGCACAAAGAAAAATCAAGGGGGAATTGTTACACTACCTACAAAAAGAAAATATTTTTTTCTTTTTCCTTTGACTTTAGTCCCTCAAGAAACCTGCCGAGTGATATCCATCGTCAGGAAAAGTCGAAAATTTTAAAAAATATATGTTTTTTCTTGTTAAATTTTTTCTATCTCTAACTACTAACTACTAACAAAAAGAACTAAAACTAATATACATACATACATACACCATATCCCCTCACCCCACATTTTAAGTTGTGGCATGTACCCATGACACATAATTAAAAGCATAAGGTAAAGGAAACTTCCCTAAATATCTAGTTGGGGTCTGAGTCAAAGTCGGGCTCCATTCCACGCGCCCGAACCAATGCACACATCCATGCAGATAACTTCTTTTCAACCTTCTTGGGGTACACCCCACACTTATCTTTCTCAATCACTACAGCTTTTTCTTTCGAGTTCTTCACCTTTTCAACACTTTCAGTTGGTTTCTCCTTTTTCACTCCAATTGCTACATTCATCTCAAAAGTCACAATCTCCTCAACCACTCTAAGCATGGGTTTTCTATCGTGTATATCTAGTATAGCTCTACCCATTGATAAAAATGGTCTTTCTAGGATGAGGGGGACCTCCTTGTTTTCCTACGTATTCACCACTATGAAATCTACAAAAAATATGAACTTATCTACCCAAACCAAGACATCTTCCACTATCCCCTCGGGTATCAAAGTCATTTGGTCAGCCAACTGCAAAGATATTGGTGCTGACCTTATCTCTCCAATCTCCTTCTCTAGTTTCTTGTAAATAGACAATGACATTAGATGAATTGAGGCACCCGAATCACATAAAGCCTTATCAAAATTAATAGTGCCTAAAGAGCAGGTTATAGTAAAACTCCCTGGATATCCACACTTTTGTGGGAGTTTGTTTCGCAAGAATGCACTGCAATGCTCTGTGAGCTTGATCACTGAGGTCTCTTCTATCTTCCTCTTCTTCGTCAGGATCTCCTTCAAGAATTTGGCATAAGCTGGCATTTGTGAGAGTACTTCCGTGAATGGTAAGTTCACATGAACTTGTTTCAGCATATCCAGAAATTTCTCAAACTGCTTATCCAGCTTTTCTCTATATAGCTTTTGGGGAAAAGGTAAAGCAGGCATGTGCTTGCTCTCTTCATTAGATTCCTTCCTTCTCGAAGTTTCCTCCTTTTTGTCAGCTCCCTTCTTGCCTTTCTTCTTCTTATCATCATCATTCTTCAACTGCTCTCCACTTCATTTTTCAGGCACCACCTCTTTTTGGATTGGAGTGGGATCTTTCAACACTTGCCTACTTCTCAAGGTTACAACATTCATTGTTTCTTTGGGGTTTCTTTTAATATCAGCGGGCAGAGTACCTAGGATTCTCTCAGACAATATAGTTGCAACCTGCCCAACTTTTCTTTCTAGGTTTCGAAAACCAGCGCCCAGTTCTTTGATGGCTGCTCCATGAGCGTCTAACCATTTGTATTGACAATTAAGGCTTTCATTAGATCTTGTAGACCAGGCTGATTGGACTGCTGAGGCTGAAACTGCTGCCTCTGCTGATTTTGGAAGACTAGAGCTCCTTGTCCTTAAGGTTTAGGATTGTTTTGCTGCCATGCTTTTGTAGTACCCCCAGATGAACTCCACGAAAAGTCGGGGTGTCTCTGACCCATTGCATTAAAATTATTGTTTCCCACAACATTCACTTCCTCAGTTGAGGCTTGACATTCATGAATAGGGTGTCTTCTTCCACATATATCACAAGCTGCATGAGGCTCACATTGTATAGAAGCTAAGGTTAAATTCCGTATTTCTTTGGCCATGGAATCAAGTTGTACCTGCACAGATGTGTTAGCATCAACCTGGTGAACACCATTCGGGCTTCTTCTTTCAGCACTCTCAAAGAGCCACTGATTTGCATCTTCAGACAACTCATCCAGAATTGTGAGTGTCGTCTCCTCTGGAGTCCTTTTCATCAACGGGCCTCCAACTGCATTGCTCAATATTCTTCGTGAGGCCGGTGTCAAACTATCCCAAAAGTCCTGGAATTACATCCAGAGTTCAATTCTGCTGTGTTGACACTTTCTAACGATCACCTTAAACCTCTCACATGCTTCAAACATAGTTTCAGTCTCTTTCTGGCAGAAGTTATGGATCTCTATTCTAAACTTGCCCATTTTAGCTGATGAGATGTATTTATCAAGAAATTTTCTAGTCATCTCATCCCATGTTCTAATCGAACCATAGGCAAGCTTCGAATCCACTGCTTTGCATCATCTTTGAGTGTGAAGGGGAATGCCCTTAAGTAAACTACATCTTGTGACACACCATTGTATTGAAAGGTATCCATAATCTCTTCGAAGTCCATTAGATGGTTGTTTGGATCTTCGTTCATCTTACCTATGAAGACACAACAGTTTTGAAAGGTTTGGAGCAACCCTTGCTTCAACTCAAAATTGTTAGCTGCAACTGGAGGTGGTCTAATACTTGATAATCCTTGGTTGTAGATCGGTCTAGCATAATCACCAAGTGGTATCCCAGCACCGGGAGCTATGTTTCTGAACTAGGCTGCAGCTAAGGGCTGATTTTGAACAATTCTCCTAGCCCTCTCCTCTTCATAGATAATCTATGCATCTCTAATCGCTCTTCCTCAGCATCCCGTGCAGCTTTTTCTCGTTGTTGGGCTGCCTCTCTTGCAGCCAAATCTACATTATCATCGTCTCCAGCCATATTTTCCTTGGTTGAGGATTGCCCAACCTTCTCTATATTCTCAGGGAGATTTCTTTCCTTCCTCAGCTATCAAAGTTTTTTTTTCTATCTCTGGTCGTATGGTAGCAATTCTTTCCCAGAAAATCGGGTCACGCACCAATCTAAACTTGTAGCTTGTGCACAGTCAAAGAACACCAACCGTAAAAACAGAAACTACAATAAAAGAAAAAAATTCTGAATTATCACTACAAACTATTTCAAATACTATTGATTGCCAATCCCCGGCAACGATGCCAAAATTTGACAAGCACAAAACACACACTTCAATGTACCCACTAGTCAAATATAGTATGATATAATATCGTATCCACAGGGATTGAATTTAAATAGCGTTCTTGTAGTTTATAGCTTAATTGCTATCCAAGATGATCAACAATTGAGGTTTATATGATTAAAACGAAAATTAACTAAGAGTCTAAACTATTGACTTATGACAATCGACACAAGTAATGAGCAAAGAAGGTTATCAATGGGAGAAAATATGGTTTTGATAGGATAGGTGCAAGATAATTGTTTGGGATCTAACTCTAGATAATTCACTTTTAATGTTCAAGTGAGTCTCTCGAATTTACTCAATTATTAGTTCACACATTTAGAAGAAACTCCTCTCTCGATTAAGCCTCAACCTCACAAGATGAACCAAATTAAGCTCTGCGAAGATATACAGGAACTCGATTATCCTCCTAACTAGGTTTAATCAATGATTAAATTAGTCTCTTTAGATTACTAAGAAGAATTAATGAACTCAACCGACAAAATAATGCAAAGACATCACAAGGTATGCCTCTCTCGTTTACATGAACAATTGAATATAGATGCAATAATTAAATCATCCAAAACGCTTCAATACATAACACTAGAGTTAATATCCACAAATAAATATCAATACACCAAATCCATCAAACCCTATAGGGAACTACTCCATACAGGTGGAGTAATTCATCACAAATATGATAAAAAGATAGGAATACATAAAACGATCTAAACTCGTGTCTTGAGTGAGCATTGAATGATGAATTCCTTGTGCTTTTGCTTCTCCAACTCCTCCTTAGCCTCCTTAGGTCTTAGATGTGTCAAAAGTCCAAAATAATATTTTTTCATGTATATATACCAAGTAGGGTCGGGCCCAAACGAAAACACCTTTTCCTATACGAAATATGACAATTACTCTGTAAAAATTGTACAAGCGCGCCGCATGAGACGACGCACCAGGCGGGGGAGCAGTGGGAAACTTCAGAGAGCTCAACAATTCACAAGCAGCAGAATTTGTACTACTGCGTCGTACTGTGCGTCGCATCAGTGCAACTTTCTCAGAGTACGGATTTTGCTTGTTTTTTGACATCCAGACTTGGTCCTCGATCCCCGAACGTGATCCCGACTTAATCCCTTGGGCTTTCACTCAGACTTCAAAGCTCCAAATAGCTTGAATTAGCTCCACAACATTTACATAGCTCGGAATCACTCCTACAAAGCATAAAATACACAATAAGTGCAAAGCACTAGCGATTAAAGCTCAAACACAGTTAAAGTGCAGTAAATTAGAGTGAAATAAGCGACTAAAACATGTGATTATAGCCTACCATCATGGATGTAATCGACGCGAATTTAAATTAATCGGACCAGTAACGTATGGCCACTTTATAAAAAGTTGAGTTGGCAAAAGAACACAATTTGAATCATATAGTTAAGAAATTTGAACTCCAAATGATCCACTCCTGTTAAGTATAATTAAGCGAAGACCAAAGCTATTTATTAGTTGATATCATAATGTTAATTACTAGAATTATGATTATAGTTTGATTCTGGTTCTAAATTTGAAGGATAGAATGTGAAAGGAAGTCATGTGCTGCACGACAAGAATAAGTTGAGGGGAAAGACTCAAAGACTTTGAGGAATCTAATGAAAGGAAGCAGTATTTTAAATACTTTGGGAGAGAGACGAGAAAGGGGCTAGATATGTATCGCAAATGATGCGATTGACTATAAGGGCATGTTCTAATGATTTCTTTCTTTTTTACAAAAAACAAAAATAAAAATATATGTGCTTTTAAGTTTTTACCATCGGTGATAAGAGGATGTTCTATTCTTACCTTGGAGTGTTATAAGAGAAGTGTCTATGCTCTCATTTGTTATCTCCTCCACTTGATATTGGAGTACCTTCGACCCCTAATTTGACAATCATGCATATAATAAAACCAATTCAAAATGAAATCTAATTTGATCTAAATGTTAATGTGACGACCCAAAGGGTCATCACCTGTTTTCTCTCTCATTCCGTGCTTCCGAGATCTTGAAAACCTCATTTTTTCTTGCCTCGATTTGCGTGCGCGTAGCCGAAAAGCTTAAATATGAATTCTGTGTAAAAATTGATGAATTTTGATATTAATATGATTAAAGTTGACTTTGGTCAACATTTTGGGTAAACGGACCCAGACCCGTGATTTGATGGTCCCGGATGGTCAGTAGAAAAATATGGGACTCGGGCGTAGGTCCGGAATCGAAATCCGAGGTCCCGAGCCCGAGAAATGAATTTTTAATAGAAATTATTTTTCTGAAATTTATATGGAAATTTGAAATGAAAATGGATTAGAAAGCATTGGTATCGGGCCCGTATTTTGCTTCCGGCGCCCGGTACAGGTCTTATATGTGGTTTAAGCGCTTCCTGTGAAATTTGGTCGAAATCGGACGTCGTTTGACGTGTTTCGGACCTAAATATCAAAAAAATGAAAGTTTAGGAAATTTGATGAAAAAGTGATGATTTTGAGGTTTAATTCATTGAGTTTGATGTTATTTTGGCAATTTGATCGCACGGATAAGTCCATAGGATGTTTTTGAGGTTGTGTGTATATTTGGTTAGGAGCCCCGAGGGCTCGGGAATGTTTCGGAGGTGTTCGGGGTGGTTTTGAACTTAGAAAAGTTGCAGAAAATGGGTTTTAGCTGTTGCAGACAATTCCTTCTTCGCGTTCGCGACGCCTCTTCCGCGATCGCGATGCCTTGAGTTGGTCCTTCATCGCATTCGCATTATCCCCATCGCGAACGCATAGGGTTATTTGACCGAGGGGGGTTTGGCCAAATTTTTCCTCTCCGCGTTCGCGTACAGCCCCTCGCGAACGCGTAGCCTTACAAATTCCTTCATCGCGTTCACATTAGCTCCCACGCGTTCGCATTGAACAAATTCTGAATCCCCAGCTTTTACTCTACGCGTTCGCACCCCCTTAGCTCGCGAACGCGATGGCCTTTCCAGTGATACCCTTCGCGAACGCGACCCTCCTGTCGCGAACGCGAAGGGCATTTTTGCCCAGTGATTTTAAATACCCCAAAACAGAACAGTGACGGGATTTAGTCCATATTTCACACGAGTTCTTCTTCTCCACAGCTCTTGAGCGAATTTTTGAGCACTTCTTCACCAAAGCTTCTTGGGTAAGTAAATTCCCACTCATTTCCTTCATCTTCCTTCATTAATTAATGAGTTTCTAAACCTAAATCATGTAATCTAGGGTTGAAATTGGGGGGAAAGGGTAGAGTTAGGGCATTTCGATTTTCTTTGATTTAGACCTCGTTTTGGGGTCGAATTTGAAAACGAATTGTATATCCGGGCTCATGGGGGAATGGGTAACATGGAATTGGTTCGAACATCGTGTTTCGACCAAGCGGGCCCGGGGTCGATTTTTGGAAATTTGGGGAGAAAGCTTAGAAATTCATATTTAGGCATTGGGTTTAGTTTGTTTAGCTATTATTAATATTGTAAAGTCATTATTTCATAGATTTGCCTGAGTTGGAGCCGAATTCGAGGGGTAAAGCTATACTAGAGGCTTGAATTGAGTTTGGAGCATTCGAGATAAGTGTTTGATCTAACTTTGGCTTGAGGGAATAGGATTAGAGTATTATTTGCTAATTGCTAAATGTGGAGTACGGTGTATAGGCATGGTGACGAGTATCTATACACCGGTGTCTAGCATGACCGTGAGTCCTTATTTGTGCTTATTTGGGATTCTGTAGTGACTCTTCCTTGTTTAATTGATGGTTGCTATATAATGTGAACAATATGAAGAGGAAATATGACTTGTAAACTCCTTGGAGCGTTGGCTCGAATTATGACTTGGTTAGGAAGTAAGAAATGAACGAAAGAGAAAGAGATGTAATTATTCCCTTGCCGGGAACTGGTTGTTTACTTGTATTCTCCCTCACCGGGATAGCTGAATTGATACTTGTTCCCTTGCCGGGAAACCATATATATATTATGAGAAGGGATCGTGTGGCACGCCGACCACTTATATATTATGAAATGGGATCGTGTGGCACGCCGACCACTTATATATTATAAAATGGGATCGTGTGGCACGCCGACCACTTATATATTATGAAATGGGATCGTGTGGCAAGCCGAGCACTTATATATTATGAAATGG